GGCCGCTAATGGATTCACTGAAGTCTGAAGAGAACGAACAGCTCCAGAGCGAGTCAGCCATGAGTTTAGTTTGTTTGCTAAGAATATGTTGCGACCGGAGCACCGACTCTGAGAATATCGTGTCTCCGGTTCCGAAAATTGTTAAAAACTTAATAACATATCTGTGTTCCGATCGTAACTTTACTCCTGAAGTGACACCAATTGATAGTTCGGACGCCAATTCATCTAAAGAGGCGAAACAGTCAGGAATTTTGAGTTTAGATAACATGCAAAAGTTTGCTGAAAAAATGTCATTCAAAAGATCCAATTCTGTGAACTCATCCAAGAAAGCGAAAACTGATGTCTTGCCAGCTGTTGATGGCGATAACGTCTCACCCAATGTTGTCGACCACAACGATAAGCAAAACGAAGTGTTGAGACGGGGAGCGAGTCTCGCGCTGACAGAAATCGCCAAATATTTTGGACCTCAAATACCGTCAATGGTGCCTAATCTCTGGGAACAAATCACACAAATTATGAGTTATTCGGAACTGTCTAAGAATTCTGGGCTAAGTTTAGATGACGCCAAGTGTTTGATCCAATGTTTACAAGTGCTAGAAATAATTGGTCCTCATTTGGACCGGGAGTTGCACTCATATTTGAAAAGTTTACTCAACTATTTGTGTTTATGTCTCGAGAGTCCATTCATAACCATCCGTCATATGTCTGCGCGTTGTATCGGAATGTTAAGTCAAGTGATCAAAACAGATACCATGGATACTGTTTTGTCGACAATATTAGAACTCTTGGAAATGTCTGAATCGGACACAAGAAGACAGGGAGCCATCGAAGCGCTGTTATGTGTAATCGATAGTTTGGGATTCAATATCGTGCCGTATATAGTGCTGCTAATTGTGCCGATGTTGGGCCGCATGAGTGACCACAACGATTGTGTGCGCCTTTTGGCCACTCATTGTTTCGCCCAATTGGTCCAATTGATGCCACTCGACAGCGACTCCAAAGCCAACTCTCATAATCTCATTAATGGCCAACTCTTGCAAAGGAAAGAAACCGAACGACACTTTTTGGAACAGTTGATGAATATGAAGAAATTAGACGATTATAAGATCCCCATTGCCGTCAAGGCTGAGCTCAGGACATACCAACAAAATGGTGTCAATTGGTTGGCGTTTCTCAATAAATACAAACTTCACGGCATTGTTGCCGACGAAATGGGTTTAGGAAAGACATTGCAAACCATATGTATTCTCGCTTCCGATCATTACTACCAAACAATTCGAGTGAATAAGTCGTCCGTTGATTGCAAGCCTTTGCCCTCAATAGTGATATGTCCGCCAACACTGACTGGTCATTGGCTCTACGAAGTGGATAAGTTTGTGAGCACTGATCAGTTGTGTCCACTTCACTACACCGGCCCTCCAAATGAACGCATGAAACTGAGAAAGAAAATCAAGAGAAGTGACAATAAACTCGTTTACAATGTTGTCATCGCTTCTTATGATATCGTTCGCAATGACATCGAGTTCTTCTCATCGATTCACTGGAATTACTGTGTCTTAGATGAGGGACATGTCATCAAAAATGGCAAAACAAAGCTGTCGAAAGCCATTAAGTCATTACCAGCCAATCATCGCCTCATTCTAACGGGAACTCCCATTCAGAACAATGTGTTGGAGTTGTGGTCATTGTTTGACTTCTTAATGCCTGGCTTTTTAGGCACTGAGAGACAATTCATGGCCCGATATTCCCGTCCTATTCTTCAGAGTCGAGACGCAAAGTCTTCGTCTAAAGAACAAGAGGCAGGAGTCTTGGCGATGGAATCTCTTCATCGACAGGTCTTACCATTCATTTTGCGTCGTATGAAAGAAGACGTACTAAAAGACTTACCGCCGAAGATAATGCAAGACTATTACTGCGAGTTGAGTCCATTGCAGTTCAAACTGTATGAGGACTTTGCCAAAAGCAAAGCCAGACATAATTTGCAAGAATCTGTTGTAACCAAAAATGCAACCAATAATGAAAAGACAAACGTTTCCTCCACTCATATATTCCAAGCGCTTCAGTATTTACGTAAAGTCTGTAATCACCCGAAGCTGGTCCTCACCACAGCTCATCCCCAATACGACGCAATCACTTCACAATTAAAACAAGAGAAGAGTTCCCTTTCGGACATCAGTCACGCGGCAAAGCTCTGCGCTTTAAGACAATTATTACTCGACTGCGGAATTGGGACCCAAAGTGCTGTTTCTGTGATTAATGGCTCCGAACCGGTAGTCAATCAACACAGAGCTCTCGTCTTTTGTCAACTCAAGAGTATGTTAGATATCGTCGAAAACGACTTATTCAAAGCACACATGCCTTCCATCACTTACTTACGACTGGACGGCAACATTGCGCCCATCTCTCGACACTCAGTTGTCCATCTTGGAATCTCTTCATCGACAGGTCTTACCATTCATTTTGCGTCGTATGAAAGAAGACGTACTAAAAGACTTACCGCCGAAGATAATGCAAGACTATTACTGCGAGTTGAGTCCATTGCAGTTCAAACTTTATGAGGACTTTGCCAAAAGCAAAGCCAGACATAATTTGCAAGAATCTGTTGTAACCAAAAATGCAACCAATAATGAAAAGACAAACGTTTCCTCTACTCATATATTCCAAGCGCTTCAGTATTTACGTAAAGTCTGTAATCACCCGAAGCTGGTCCTCACCACAGCTCATCCGCAATACGACGCAATCACTTCACAATTAAAACAAGAGAAGAGTTCCCTTTCGGACATCAGTCACGCGGCAAAGCTCTGCGCTTTAAGACAATTATTACTCGACTGCGGTATTGGGACCCAAAGTGCTGTTTCTGTGATTAATGGCTCCGAACCGGTAGTCAATCAACACAGAGCTCTCGTGTTTTGTCAACTCAAGAGTATGTTAGATATCGTCGAAAACGACTTATTCAAAGCACACATGCCTTCCATCACTTACTTACGACTGGACGGCAACATTGCGCCCATCTCTCGACACTCAGTTGTCCATCAATTCAATAACGACCCCTCCATTGATGTCTTATTGCTTACCACACAAGTATGTGATTGATTTGCAAATAAGAGTTGCCTTTTATGAATACAATTAACTATGCAATAGGTTGGAGGACTGGGATTGAACCTAACGGGCGCCGACACCGTTATATTCGTAGAGCACGACTGGAATCCTATGAAAGACTTGCAGGCAATGGATAGGGCGCACAGAATTGGACAGAAGAAAGTGGTGAATGTTTATCGGTATGAATCACTTGTTGTGTTATTTGTTATGAAATATTTACAAAATATGTTTCATTTATGTCAAGACTAATAACGACCGGCACTTTAGAAGAAAAGATTATGGGTTTACAGAAGTTTAAGCTCACCATTGCTAACACTGTCATCAGTAGTGATAATTCAAACTTACAGACAATGGCAACGGACCAACTCTTGGATCTCTTTAGTTTAGGTCATCATAAAAGTGAGTCAATGAACAAATCTAACGAAAGTAGTGGTTCTGGGATGAAGAATATTCTTGAAAATCTGCCCGAACTCTGGGATTCTCGACAATACGACTCTGAATATGATTTAACAAATTTCATTAATTCCTTGAAATCATAATATTTCACTTGAGTATCACATTTTGGCGCAAATCATCCCTATTTGTTAAAAATTCTCGATTCAATAATTTTCTATATTGTATAAAATGTCTTGTTTTATTTGAGTTTATATGTGTGAAACCAAAATTATTATTTGTAAGGTTTTTGTAATTTCCAATAAATGAAATTAAAGTTTATACCGTATTCATTTGTATGTTGCAATTAAATCTTACAAAAGTTATAATTTGAAATGAATTGCTAGTAAGGAATGATACTTCAATCAATCATTTTATTAGATATTTTCATTTGTAATCATTTTTATACATATTTATTATAAGTGAACTGAAAGAATATACTGTACATACAGTAAGTGAGTGCTTAATCTCTGGTATTTGAATACTTTTGACAAATTAAAATAATTAAATTAAAAGAGAGTATTGAAAAATAATATTTTGATAATAAAATTATATAATTATATTGAGTGTAAATCACTATTAGACTAGTTGTCTTAAAATGCAATTATATTTTAAAATTTTGCAAAATTTCATAATAAATTTACAAGTTAAAACATCTTTGTATAATTTGTAAATTATTGTATAAAATATATTAGTAATTAAAACAATTAGATGGTTTATAATTTATATTGGGTATAGAATAAAATTAATGTTTACAGATATCGTATAAAATATTTTGATGACTATAAATGTGATACGACTATATATTACATATTGATTAAAAATAATATATTTATCCTTATTTACTGTTTGATACATTTAAGTATTTATTCTAAATGACAATTATCTGAATAATTTTACACAAAGTTTATTTATAACAAATTATATAATGATATAACTTTGAGCATAATATTAATTTTATAAAAATATAACTGTTACTTTTTCAATCACTGGTTGAGTGCTTTGGATATGTTTGAGATCCATAATGACTAACATATTGGTGTTTTAAATACCTTTTGAATGTTTTATTATAATTTATAACAATTTTTATAATTAATATTTCAGTATACTGTATAATAACGTTAAATGGTAATATTATAGAATTCTGATTCTGGAATCTTTATAATAATAATAAACTATTCCTTAAATTTTTTGGTTGCAATATTTGAAACTTTAATATATACTGTATTTGCAATTGTAATGAAAGAATATGTCAAATATAATAATGATTAGTGAAAAAATATATTTTGTCGATCATTTTGTTTTATGTAAGCTTTGCTGTCAATGAATGCAATATCAGTGCAAATCTGTACTTCAATTTTGGTATAGTTTTGAATACTTTGATCATAATTCGTGGTGTCTTTGGGTACAAATTGGTGGACTAAAGGTGTACGAGAAGTGATGAGAGACTCTATTTGGTGGACACAGCTTTTGATACGACTCTATAAGTTAAATAAAAAATAAAGTTACAACTAATGTCATAATTATTGAATAATGCATTTCTTACAGAATCGATGTTCAGAATGGTTGACAGCGATGAGACAAATGCATCGAAACATTTGCTTGGCTTATGTGTGGACTGTAGGCCGTGGACTGCAGTGGCAATACTGGCCGCCGCTATCAATGACGGCAATTGACATGAAAACTGAAGCTCTGAAACAAATAAATGACATAATTATTAATTACTAGTGTTAATAGTTTGCAATTATTGGTATCTATTTGAAGAAACTATATATAAATAGATAATGAAAAAGAGATTCATGTGTTGGTGAATGTAACTGATATGCGGCTGTATTGTATGACAATTTATAGTGAATTCTAATGAATGCATTGAAATGAGGCATAAGATTACAGTTATTCTCAGTTCTCGTTGGACTTCCTCTGCATCCGAACAATTGGAGTGAAGGGGAGAGGGATGTGAGGGAAGCGTACAATAGAAGGGATGGAGAGATTGGCAGCGCTTTTACTTTTTTAGATGATAAAAGAGTGGCAAATAGTGTATAAACTTAGGGCTGCGTTGGGCTGTAGTGGTGGCCCAACAGCTGCTTCGGCCGCTCTCTGTCTCAATCCCTATCCCAATCCCAATCGACAACACCTGCGGAACTCCACTACTGTTTGACTGCTGTAACCAACGCAACAAAGCGTGGCTTTAATACAAACATTCATAGACTAACTAAAGGCATCCCTGGTTTGCATCAATTGGTTAAATACACTGTTTTTTATGTTCATAACAACACTCCTATAGTTTGACCGAAAATATGTTATTTAATTTGAATGCATTGTTAGTCGAATCAACTCAAGCCTACAGTTGGCATTCATTTCTATCATTAAACCGTAACTTCTATATTGAACTTATTTTTATAAGATTAATACTTCAATTTGAAATATTGTCAAAAAAGTTTGAATTTACTATTGTTTCAGAACTAGCTTCTATACTATAGTATAGAATCTATACTGTACTCCACCGGTACTGACATATCCGTAAAAATTAAAATAACATTAAATTATTAACTATCAGACATAAGAAAATGCTTATGCAATTACAATATATAAATTCCGATATTACTAGATACTAGAAATTTGTCATTCAACTAATTTATAATTATAATACTGTAGTACAATATAACAGAAATTTCTAACTTGTAAGAGAATCTTATAGGAAACAACATTAACATTCATACAATTAAATGAATACAACAGTCATTAAAAATATTAGCAAATTTGATATGATAGATAATAAACTTGCAATGATCAATATGTATTTGGTGTTAGGTCCCTATTCCTACCCCCATAATGTAATTTATATGTTTGTGAATAATAATAAGTCGTGAACATTATATCATTTGTTGATTTGCGTGAAAATAGTAGTAATTAATGAAAGAAGAGATCCGCAAAATGCATGTAAACATGTATTGCATCTGCATTTGCATCCCAAACAACACAAGCATATAGTGTTAGACATTGCTATTATTGTTTTAAATAGTTTAACTGTTGTTTGTATTGACTATATTTTCGAAAGCGATTGAAACTGGAATTATCCGTACTGAAAACTGTTTAGAAGTTGTCATATGTTTAATGGAAAGAGTTGTACACACTTTCAAAGAAGTTGTCATTGAAAAGGAAGTTAAAACAGTTTTGTTTAATCACATGAACTTCATAGACAAACATTAACAGACTTTCAATGTTTCAATAGAAATGACTATAAATTCATTAAAATCATAATAAGCTATTGTTGCATATGTTGTTATTTCATTAAATATTATTATAGGTGTGCAGTATATGTATGATATTGTATGAGACAAATACTCATACAATTAGAATTAGATATCATAGTAGGAGCAGATGGTTGGGTGCAAAATACTGGTGCAAAACTACTGTTCATGTTGTCGTCTATTCATTCATGACTACTCCTCATACTCTACAATATATATTATAAATAGAATTGATATTAATATTAATGGTTTGCATTTCATATCTATTATCAAACAAAGATAGGCTTTCCGTATAAAAACATTTGCTTTCTGTCTAAACTTATTTGACCACTAAATTCCTATTTAAATGTATGGGTTGCCAATGTTAAACTTTTTATTGCTTTACAAGCTTTTTCATATCTCAATGTTTATAAAAGGTCGTGTAACAAAATTTGTTTGAAAAACAAATATTATATCCATGAAAACCTTTGATATAAATCCTTTCAAATGAATCTTTAAATTTAATTCAATTGATAAAATAATTTCAAATCATTTCCTGAATGAACACACAATCATAATGTGAGAGAAAGTGAATATCACTTCATTTCCAATTTTATCATTTATTTTATTTTCAAAGTTTCAATATATAAAGGGCTCGTCTTTAGACCATATGAGGTATGAGAGAAGGGATGGAGGGATGGGATGGGTTTGGGTTTAATAAAAGGTAAGTGAGGAGAGAGAGGGAGAGAACACCCATTTAAAAGTCTAGAATACTGTGACTTCTTTGTGGGTGAAGAGAACTCCCGGTGCTGTTCCTGTGTATTGTGTTCAGTAGTGGTTGTGTTGGGAGACCCTGTCTTAGGTGTAAGACGTGTGCCGGTTTAGTTCTTGGCCTCGTTTACTCAAATAAACTTTATGATCAATATATTTTCATATTTTTGATTACTTCGAATGAAATTTTAATTCATTAAAATATATTTTTAAAATAATACAGCAAATAATTTTGCGTTTCAAACAATTTTAATTAACATGTATATTCCGAAGTGTATGCAAGCATACAATTTTTCAGGATATTCAATTAAATGATCTTGTTGTATTATGATAGCGATAAAAATATAACTGTAAATCAGCTGTACTTGAAATATAATTCAATGACAATAATTGAATTGTCTCAAATGCAAATCCATTGTCAAGTTAATCCAATTTATTAGAATTGCAAATAATTGGTGTAGTAGCCCAGAATGATTTAATCAATAAAATCAAACTAACGGTTTGTATAAATGATAAGTGGTGTGCAAATTCCGGGCAGAATATTAATATTTAAACAGTTCTAAAGACATTATGAGTAAAGCTATAGAATAACATGAGAGAGAGGGAGAGAACACCCATTTAAAAGTCTAGAATACTGTGACTTCTTTGTGGGTGAAGAGAACTCCCGGTGCTGTTCCTGTGTATTGTGTTCAGTAGTGGTTGTGTTGGGAGACCCTGTCTTAGGTGTAAGACGTGTGCCGGTTTAGTTCTTGGCCTCGTTCACTCAAATAAAAATGATCTTGACAAACTTTATGATAAATATATTTTCATATTTTTGATTACTTCGAATGAATTTTAATTAATTAAAATATATTTTTAAAATAATACAGCAAATAATTTTGCGTTTCAAACAATTTTAATTAACATGTATATTCCGAAGTGTATGCAAGCATACAATTTTACCAGGATATTCAATTAAATGATCTTGTTGTATTATGATAGCGATAAAAATATAACTGTAAATCAGCTGTACTTTAAATATAATTCAATGACAATAATTGAATTGTCTCAAATGCAAATCCATTGTAAAGTTAATCCAATTTATTAGAATTGCAAATAATTGGTGTAGTAGCTCAGAATGATTTAATCAATAAAATCAAACTAACGGTTTGTATAAATGATAAGTGGTGTGCAAATTCCGGGCAGAATATTAATATTTAAACAGTTCTAAAGACATTATGAGTAAAGCTATAGAATAACATCTGGATCTAAATTTGAGTCAATTTCCAATGATATAAATTTATGTCGCTTAATATCAGCTGCTGTTTGGCTTACATTCAACGCATTGACAGTTAATATTGAGTATAATTTTGATGTTATGTTAAGCAATACTCGAGGAGTAGTCGCACGTCTGACGCGTGCCGTTCACTAACTTATGTTATTTATATGAATACATCAATTGCTTCGGTATTAAAGTAGCGGCCATTCCTATGCTATTATATTTATACCACTATTTGTGAGCTTTAATGGGGGAAAGAGAGCGACAGACAGGAGGGCTGGCAGTGTAGGGAAAGCAGAATCACCTGGACATCAGACATTAGACACGAGACATAATTGCAATACTGTGTGCCTGTATTGGAATGATGGGGAGGAATGGGGAGCAGGAGCTGTGAATTGTGTTGGATCTGGAGGTCTGAGGCAGAGCTCAGGCAGAGCTGAGGCACGCGACACAATAGTCTCAAACATTTCTCTATTCTAACAATGAGTTCAAACAGAGCATTGAATTCATTGTAATTTTTACCGTATGTTGCGTTGAGTCACTATTAAAGCACTTAAAGCATCAAACTTTCACTGAACTCAAGACCAACGAACCCCAACTCAGGTCTACATTACACTCAATACAACTCAACACAACCCAAACAATTCGATACTCAGACGAAAGGGTGAACTCTCGTATAGATTCTGTAAATTCATGACAATTCGCAACATGTTTTACGTCTGGTTTTACTCTTTTTTGTCTAAATATTCTTTGCTAATAAACAGAAGCAATGGTTGCAAACGTAACTCGAAACTATTATCTTATATTTTTATTATAAATGTTTACATTTGATTCACTAAAACATATTACTATGACTTTAAGTTTCATTGAACTTTTCTCTAATTAATTTCAGATACTCTATAAAATAGACTACAGTACAGTATATCATAATTTATTGACTGAACTAACTGTTAAATTAACTTAAACTATCCTATTACATTCCAGTGCATCTAGTTATTTAATCACCATAGAATTCTCATATTTTTTAAAAATTAGACAATAATTGGTTTAAATAACTCAATTCATAATCGCTTAAAGTCAACAGGTCATATTTTAAACTAATTAAATTACTGAACATATTATATAATACTTTGTTTATTATTTATACCGGTAATAGAAAATATAGATTCTCTTATACAAAGTATTTCCAAAACAAAGTGAGAAGTTTAAAGTTTCCTGAGCTTTGTATTTATTGAACATAAATAAAAGCATTTAAGATAACAAAAACTTCTCACCATTTCATGGGAAGTCTATTAAGAGATTTTATACAAAATATCAAATATAATAGATATGTAATAACTGGTTAATGGCCTTCAATTAACTGTACTAAACGTTAGTAAATAAATACACAATAATGCAATAGAATTATCACTCATTCAAATAAATTCCTAACTTAAAAATCCTAAATCATATAAATAAGAAAGAGTTCAAATAATAATGAACAGGGTTATCCCATAAGATGTTATATATAATGCATGATAAAAATGTTTTAATTGTATAAGCTTTGACAATAAATTTATTGAGTATAAGTATAAATTCTCGAACCAAATAAAATTAAAGTCATAGATATTTATTGTACGGCATAGAGAAAGAGTTTTAAAACAAATACAAACACAAAATATTATAGTAAATATTGATTAAAATATCTTATGTTTATATTAAAGATCTGAAAGTTGAGTTTTTTGTTGTGAAAAGACAATATAATAAAACGAACACCCACACAATACAGAGTACAATACAGTTATATAACATTCACCATACAGTACAGAGTATGGAAAAGAGTATCTATTACTTGTTGAATGAATGCTTAATGTATTGTCTAATCGGTCTCACTCTTGAATTGGAGACACATTTATGATAAGATTAGATGTAAAGGAATCGAGTCTTACCTGTAGTGCAGAGAGCGATAAAAGTTGATGAGTGTCTTCGGATTATTGAATCCATACAATCGACTGAATTATTGCTATTTTTTAGACTAAGTGATGGTATTCTGACTAACAAATGGTCCAAATAATCGTTGGCCACAACTGTTGATACATCCCATTGTAATCTTCTTAATATTAATAACTCCCAACCCTTTAAACAATAGTAATAATTGTGTTAAGAGTTTACATTGTTTCTAATTATATCTTATTTTTCTTAAGTATTTTAACAATAGAATAAAGAATCGATTAATTATTAAAAACAATAACTTGTTATAAATTGTATAAAATGAATAATAATACATATTTTTACATAGAATAACAGTTAACAATCGATTATGAGTGTTATTAGAGAAGTTGTGAGTGACTTATTAGTCACTTTATTGAGTTCTGCACACCTAGATTTCAGACTGTGACAGGCAGTTTGGATGCTATGAGAAGACATACGACGCCCACCAGTTGTAACTGACTCTTCCGGATGTCAGTGCACACCAGAAAACGGTCCAAGAAGTTCATCGCAACCGGAAACACAACTTCTTCGCATTGGTTCTCTTCACAAACCTATTGTCAATTCATTTTCATATTATATATGAAATAAATAAATATATATTCTAATAATATTTACATAAACAGAAATAATACTATAAAAACAAGTGTTGAATAAAACAAAGTGTTAATTAGTGAAAGAGTGCACATATACCACATATACTCACTTCAAGCATCCAATTGGCCACTGTTTTCCTCATATAGGGCTCGACTTCACTTTGAATGCATTTGTAAGACTCGAGAACATCTTTGGGGACATAGTTTTCTTCCACTTGAAGTAATTGTTCCAGAATTCTGTCATCACTCAGAATATTGTGGTCATAAGCGGTGTAAGTAATTGAGAAATTATGATCATTTTGGTCGGGAATCACAATTTGGACAAATTCTGGTGAAGATTCCGCACAAACCAATTCCATCTTATATTCTGTGGTGACGTGAATGATATGTTTGAGAAATATTGGATATATTGGTGAAAATGAGAGCAATTAGTAGACTATAGCCACAGAATAGTGAATATTAGCCGAAATAGTGAGTGTAGTATAGAGTAGTATGCATTGGAAGTGAAGGTATTTCACATTGGGTTCATTCAACACAACTTCTGTTCAGAAATGTATGAATAAAAGAATTTTTTCCTTTTATAGCGAATAACACAATAGAGAGACGGAGTGGTCGTGACGTTGCGAAGTTTAGTCAAACATAACCTGCCTCCCTACGGAAGCGTGGCGAATGGTGAGGTCAGGGTATAAACGGTTGTACACCAGAGTGTTATTCCATAAATTTACCTTTCGTGAAAGTAATCTGCTCACGCAGTTTGTATGATATCTGTGATAACATAAAGTCATTACAGTCTATGACCTGCTCAAGTGACATTCGAATCTACTCCGTGGTTTACTAACTAAGGGTGCACTTTATGTGTTGACTAAACAGTCTACAAACTGAAATCAAGTGAATTAACAGAGAGTAAACCAGTGGTTAACAAACGACATTGTTATATTCATCCACACATATAGTCTACAAACAGTCGATGATTTATTTGGTAATTAATACTGACATTCAGTTTACAGTTATCATACATTACTGCACAATATATGCATTAGTCTAGTAATGCTTTACAAACACACATACAGTAACTGCAAAATACCTGTAACTTTTAGTTTTATACATACAAAGAACTTCACATTTATTTATTTATTCATTACAAACATTTTTTTGATCTTCAAATCCTCGTCGGTATGATTGAATTCCTACAAACAAATAGTATTTTAACAAATAATCATCTAACCGTAATGTTATTATTTATTTTTCACAACTAGTCTTGATTTACAATCAATATTCTTAATTCATTGTCACTTTTTCTCAGAAAATTCATAGATAACTAATCAATGAATGAAAATAATCATGAGGTGGTATAACAGTAATATAACAACTCTTTATTGTTTGCTTAAATCTTTCTGTACTCATGCACTTAACCCTCATTTCTAACCTCATGTATACCTTTTAAGGTGTGTTTAACAAGTCAATAAATCAATGATATTTTTAAAAATTATTATCACTTAGTAATTATTTAGTTAGTATTTAAATATAGATAAAATCTTATATTGGTGGTCTTGTAGTATTCTAGTAAAATATTATTTATATTTTATAATGCCTTTAAAACATTATACTAATCTAAATTAATTTCAATTAGATAAATGTATTCATTAAAGAGAAATCATACTGTATATTATTTTATATAATTAGTAATTTGATTTGTTCTCACAATAAATTTTAATACAATATGTAAATCGGGTAAACATTGAGTTCTATAGCTTGGAAAAATTACCCATAGAATATTATAAACTTATATACTCATAGATTTTTAAAATAATAAATTTTAATGAATATTAAGGCAAATATCTTCTCCGGTAATTAATTTCATTTATGGCATAAAAGAATAGATATGAATATGTGGTCAAAATTGCAAGGATTTATGCCTCACTGAACATCCCATCGGTGAACATCTCCCTCCTCTGCAAACCCTCTCCACAATCTCAGCCCAAACCATAGTTAATTGTGTCGAGAATACAATATATAAAATCAAAGAATAATTTGTTTGTTAGCAAAATCAGATTTGAAGAAATAATAATAATAGAGTCGTTCACTAATTGGTGAGAAATCATCTGCACTTCAAAGCGATGGTCGACTCAACTGATTGTCAGTCTCTTCGTGTCTACCTTTGCATGCAATTTATTATTATGTATAAAAATGTATCTTATTGTCAATTGTTAGCTAATACTCACAATAATCTCTTCAACACTCACTGAATAATCAGTGAAATAACTCAAGACGTGTGGATCTAAAGTCTGACACTGTCTTAGTTTGGATGCTATGAGAAGACATACGACGCCCACCAGTTGTAACTGACTCTTCCGGATGTCAGTGCACACCAGGAAACGGTCCAAGAAGTTCATCGCAACCGGAAACACAACTTCTTCGCATTGGTTCTCTTCACAAACCTATTGTCAATTCATTTTCATATTATATATGAAATAAATAAATATATATTCTAATCATATTTACATAAACAGAAATAATACTATAAAAACAAGTGTTGAATAAAAAAGTGTTAATTAGTGCACATATACCACATATACTCACTTCAAGCATCCAATTGGCCACTGTTTTCCTCATATAGGGCTCGACTTCACTTTGGATGCATTTGTAAGACTCGAGAACATCTTTGGGGACATAGTTTTCTTCCACTTGAAGTAATTGTTCCAGAATTCTGTCATCACTCAGAATATTGTGGTCATAAGCGGTGTAAGTAATTGAGAAATTAGTATCATTTTGGTCGGGAATCACAATTTGGACAAATTCTGGTGAAGATTCCGCACAAACCAATTCCATCTTATATTCTGTGGTGATGTGAATGATATGTTTGAGAAATATTGGATATATTGGTGAAAATGAGAGCAATTAGTAGACTATAGCCACAGAATAGTGAATATTAGCCGAAATAGTGAGTGTAGTGTAGAGTAGTATGCATTGGAAGTGAAGGTATTTCACATTGGGTTCATTCAACACAACTTCTGTTCAGAAATGTATGAATAAAAGAATTTTTTGCTTTTATAGCGAATAACACAATAGAGAGACGGAGTGCGAGTGACGTTCGCTTCAAATCAGTTTGTATTGGACGGAGGGATGCCTTCGCACCGCTTACCACTCCAGTCCCATATTTGCCAACATGTGGTCTCACAATAAGGTATTTAAATGGAAAGCACTTTCATTAGACGAGTGCNTTTCATTAGACGAGTGCCAGTTTGTATGATATCTGTGATAACATAAAGTCATTACAGTCTATGACCTGCTCTTCACTGTAAGCTTAGATGAGGCACCAAATGATTGATTCCCACGTGAAATACACAACTGATTTGTCAGATGTTTGACTTTAGTTCACTTAATTGTCTCTCATTTGGTCACCAATTGTTTGCTGTAACCGCACATATAGTCTACAAACAGTCGATGATTTATTTGGTAATTAATACTGACATTCAGTTTACAGTTATCATACATTACCGCACAATATATGCATTAGTCTAGTAATGCTTTACAAACACACATACAGTAACTGCAAAATACCTGTAACTTTTAGTTTTATACATACAAAGAACTTCAAATTTATTTATTTATTCATTACAAACATTATTTGATCTTAAAATCCTCGTCGGTATGATTGAATTCCTACAAACAAATAGTATTTTAACAAATAATAATCTAACCGTAATGTTATTATTTATTTTTCACAATTAGTCTTTTGATTTACAATCAATAGTCTTAATTCATTGTCACTTTTTCTCAGAAAATTGATAGATAACTAATCAATGAATGAAAATAATCATGAGGTGGTATAACAGTAATATAACAACTCTTTATTGTTTAAATCATTCTGTACTCATGCACTTAACCCTCATTTCTAACCTCATGTATACCTTTTAAGGTGTGTTTAACAAGTCAATAAATCAATGATATTTTTAAAAATTATTATCACTTAGTAATTATTTAGTTAGTATTTAAGTATAGATAAAATCTTATATTGGTGGTCTTGTAGTATTCTAGTAAAATATTATTTATATTTTATAATGCCTTTAAAACATTATACTAATCTAAATTAATTTCATAAATTTAGAATTAGATAAATGTATTCATTAAAGAGAAATCATACTGTATATTATTTTATATAATTAGTAATTTGATTTGTTCTCACAATAAATTTTAATACAATATGTAAATTGGGTAAACATTGAGTTCTATAGCTTGGAAAAATTACCCATAAAATATTATAAACTTATATACTCATAGATTTTTAAAATAATAAATTTTAATGAATATTAAGGGAAATATCTTCTCCGGTAATTAATTTCATTTATGGCATAAAAGAATAGATATGAATATGTGGTGAAAATTGCAAGGATTTATGCCTCACTGAACATCCCATCGGTGAGCATCTCCCTCCTCTGCAAACCCTCTCCACAATCTCAGCCCAAACCATACGATAGTTAATTGTGTCGAGAATACAATATATAAAATCAAAGAATAATTTGTTTGTTTGCAAAATCAGATTTGAAGAAATAATAATAATAGAGTCGTTCACTAATTGGTGAGAAATCATCTGCACTTCAAAGCGATGGTCGACTCAACTGATTGTCAGTCTCTTCGTGTCTACCTTTGCATGCAA